AATTCTCACATCAAGAAAAATGTCCACTTTCCTCCTACCAGGGTTCAAAATCCTTTATGAAATTTACATCATAATAATGTTAAAATAATATATCATTACAATGACTATCAAAGATTAAAAAGGGAGTAGCAAATAATGTCAATGAAACTGACCCATGGATAGTTATCTAGGGAAAGTTAATTCTGAAACACAAACTTTCCACCAATAAAAGCTTCTATCCAAAAGCATACCTGTGTTTTAGAATTTGTTCAGAACAAATTCAATACTTGGTGGTCATCTACTAGGTAACTCAAATTTAGTATTTTACTAACTGTTGGTGATCAATGGAGTTTTTGCTTTGCTTTTGTGCTAGTCCTGAAGCTTGAACAAGACCTGGATACAGGCCCTGAGTTCTTTTGTTCAAGGCTAGCACTCTACCACTTGAGCCCCCAACTCCCCTTCCAGCTTTTCAGTGGTTAATCAGTAAGAGTCTCAAGAACTTTTCAGCCTGGATGGCTCAGAACCATATCAACATGTCTCAACCTCCTGAGTAGCTAGGATTACAGGTGTCCAGCTACCAATAGTTTTTAATAATAAAAATATAAGAGAGCCAGGCACCGGTGGCTCACACCAATAATCCTAACTACTCAGGAGGTTGAGATCTGAGGATCACAGTTCAAAGCCAGCCCAGGCAGGAAAGCCCGTGAGACTCTTATCGCCAATAAACAACCAGAAAACCTGAAGTGGCACTGTGGCTCAAATGATAGAATGCTAGCCTTAAGCTGAAGAGCTGAGGGACAGCGCTTAGGCCAAGAGTTCAAGCCCCATGACTGACCAATAAAACAAAACTAAACAACAAAAAAAGATAAAGTAGAAAACACTTGGTTTTGATCATTTCACTTATACTGAATAAAAATGTAAAATTAAGTGGTTACCATTAATTTTAGATTTATTTCACAGCATGGTTTCTTAAGAATTAAAGCAGAATTATGTCACAAAAAAGAGTAGAACAACCAAGTCCAAAAATATCCACTGATTTACTTAGCTACTACAAAATTTGGCCTATAAACCTTGAGTAACTTTGATATTTGTGCTTTTTTGTAATATTTCTTCTGACATTTCATTAATCTTTTAGTAATGAAATTTTTAACCAGACACAAAAATCTAACCTAGGTTTTCTAATTGAGTTGAAAAGAAATATGCAGATGTTTATCAAACACCTTCTGAAACTGACCATACTTAGTTTTCCCTCTGTATTTGTGGGTTCTACATCTGTACTCAACTTACCAAAATGCAGATTTTCAGAACAAGAAAGTTCCAAAAATCAAAACCTAAATTTGTTGCATCGTAAGCACATGCTGAATCCCTCAGAATGAAGCAATGTCAGATCCAGTTTCAGTAGAGTTCATACCGTAGAGAACTGATCAGCTCCAATCTATTCATATATTATGTAGTTAGGCCTATCATGCTTGTATCTGTACCAACCATGTACAAATCATCTTCTTGTCATTATTCCCTAAACAATACAGCACAACAAGTTTTTACAGAGTATTTTCATTTTATTATATAGTACAAGTAACCTAGTGGTCATTTAAAGAGCATGGAAAGATGCGTGCATGTTATATGCAAACCTGGTGTCATTTTACTGTAAAGGACTTGAGCATCTGCAGATTTTGGTACCATATGCCATCCTTGAGCTAATCTTTCAAGGACACTGAGGAAGATTTCAGGTGGAACTTCACTTACAAACTTAAAAAGTCAAAAAGAATTATGTTCAGAAAACCTCATAAGAGGGTAAGATCTACCTTTTAAATTTCCACATCAATAACACATAGTACTGAAGCAACAAGTCAATAAAATTTTGCATTTTAAAACCAAAAGGAGTACATTTTGGACATTTCAAATTATAAAATTCAGTTCTAAAGCAGGAATTGCTACTGTGTAACAAATACTGCTCATATCAAAAGTGCTGGTGAAAAGAACTCAATACTTCCACAAAATCTGTCATACATCTAATCAAACTATCATAATGAAAATTTAAATGTTTAATTAAGGTGCTTGAAGTTTGCACTTCAGGGCCCACTCAATAAGTATTCATCTGCTACCTCTTTGTAGCAACTCCAGATAGGAATGATTCCAACTTCTGTTACTTTCTAAAGTGTGGCATCTGTGGAGCTGGACTGCCCTCTATGGGAAAGGAAGAGGATACACTCATTAGCTGTCCTGTGTGAATTTTCTCGTTAATTCGGAGTTCGCATCCATCTTGAAGCATCCGAATTGCAATACGGGCGATGTTCTTAGAGTCATCAAGACCACTGTGAGGTCGCCCATCATAATCCATTCCTAATTTTTCAAGCATTATTGTCAGTTTGGTTTGGCTTCTGGGAACCTGAAAAATAAAAAGCTTAGTAAATCATTCTTTAGTGCTCTGAACAGCAATAAAAGGCCAGAGTGAAGCTAAAAATAAAAAAAACACACAAGAATGGGGAAAGGGTGAGCAAATATAGTCATTATATTTAATGTATAATATACAAAAAGTGAACTACTTAATTTAGAGGATAGGGATGGAAAGAGGAAAATAGGGGAGAACAAAGGAAGGAAAGAGTAACACTGACCAAGAAGCATTGTACTCATACTGACCTATGAAACTGTAATCCCTTTGTACAACTATTCAATCATATTAATAACAACAACATATATATATATATGCACTTCCCCACCCTAAAACAACCAAAATTATCAATTATAACAAAATAAAGTTAGACAAAAGGCAATACTTTTGATCAAATGAAGCAAATTCTCATAGTTTATAGTCTTAGAATTTTAGGTGAAATACAGAATCCTCAGGCATTTGTAATTTAACATAAAATTTAACAAACCATTTACAAATGGACTGTATGGTTTTAGACATATAAAGATCAACCTTCTCTTAAACTGAAACTAATAATTTAACATAATGGTCTTTGTAACTAACTTCTTACATAGATATAAACAGTAATTAGCCTTTCTGAGATGACTAAAACTAATGACAGTAAAAATGAAAGATGGGGTTAGGGTTGTATGTTATTTTTCAGGCTAATTCAAACATGTTCCACAAAGTTAGGGACCACTGTTCTAACTTCAAAGAAACTGATATAGCTTTACATCCTGTAGTTTTTGCAGAGTCACGTGTGTACCTTGGAACTGCAGGTTCATCACTACGATGATACCAGCAGTACTCCTAGGGTTACTGGTAGACTACGGAACAAGCACTATGTTAACTATGATTAAAAAAAAAAAACTATGAAAATCTACCATATGATAAGTATCAGTAACTACTGTAAGCTGTAATAATGCAAATGCACACTGTGTCTTCTACTATATTTTTTTTAGAAAATATGCTTCTAAAAATAACTTTTTCAATACACTGGACAATTTAGTTGGGAGAGACAAATGTCAGAAACACACAACCTTCTAAGACCAAATCATAAAGAAATAGATTATGTAAACTGATCTATACCTAGTAAGGAAACTGAATCTGTAATTAAGAATCCCCAAGATGGGCACCAGGGGCTCACACCTGTAATCCTAACTGCTCAGGAGGGTGATATGTGAGGATCACTGTTTGAAGCTAGCCTGGGCAGAAAAGTACATGAGACTATTATCTCCTATTAATCCTAGAAGAACAGAAGTGGTACTGTGGCTCAGGTGATAGAGCAGTAGCCTTAAGTAAAAGGAGCTCAGGGGCATCACCCAAGCCCATAGTTCAAGCCCTAGCACTGGCCAAAGAGAAAAAAAAGAATTTTCTGGGAAGTGGAGGTATGGCACAAGTTGGTAAAACACAAGCTTCTACTGGAAAAGTCAAGTACTTGGCTTGGGAGGCCCTGATTTAAAGCCTCAATACTGGCACCAAAAAAAATAGACAAACTATACAGACAAACTACATAGGAATATATCCCTTATAAATATCATAACACAAAAATCTTCAATATAAGCAAACTAAATCCAGCAGTTCATTAAAAGGATTACGTACTACAACTGTGTAGTGCTGGAAAGCAAGAATGGTTCAACATTTAAAGAAAGGGCTGGGAAGGTGGCTCAGTGGTAGAGCGCTTGCCTGGCATGCATGAGGCCCTGGGTTCGATTCCTCAGCACCACATAAGCAAAAAGAAAAAAGCCAGAAGTGGCGCTGTGGCTCAAGTGGTAGAGCACTAGCCTTGAGCTGAAGAGCTGAGGGACAGCACCCAGGCCCAGAGTTCAGGTCCCACGACCGGACCCCAAAAAAATGTAGTACACCACATTTAGAGAATGAATGAGAAAAACTACATGACCACCCCCAACAGGTGTAGTAAAAAGCATAATAAAAATCAAACAACCTTTCATGATACAACAAAAACCTCTCTAAAAATTAACAAAAGGAAAATACCTCAAAAAAAAAGTTGTAAGAAAACCCACAGCTAACATCATACTCCCTTCTAAAGTTAGGAATAGCCATATGTTCACATTCACTACTTGTATACAACAGTTGAAAAGTTGATTAAAACAACTGAAAGTTTTACTTAAAACAATTAGGAAAAAGAAATAACGGGCACCCAAAAGGGAAAAGCTAAACTGTCCCTGTCCACAGGTGACACTGTTTTATATAGAAAATCCTAGATTCCACATAAAAGAACATTTTTTTTTTAGAATAAACAAATTAAAGTTGCAGGTTCAAAATCAACATAGAAAAACCCACTGTTTCCAGACTAACAATGAAAATTCAACATGGAAATTACAAAATAAACTTCATTTAAAATAGCAACATGAAGAATAAAGTACTCAGGAATAAACTTAGCCAAGAAAATGATAAAGACTTGTATACTGAAGGCTACAAAATATTGCTGAGAGAAATTTGAGAAGGCACTAATAAATGAAGACATTCTAAGCTCATAGTTCAGATTTAAAATATCAAAATTATCCAAAGAAATCTAGATTAATGTATACTGAAATACTTTTTGTATTATAACAGACAATTCTGATCTACTAACTCAATGGGACCTCAGACAGACAAACCAACTGAGAAAAAATAGTGGTCTAACCTATCTTCATTTCAAAACTTACTATAAAGCTACTGTAATCAAAATGGTAAAGTATCAGGATGAAGATAAAACAACAGAGTACCAGAAGAGAATAGACTCCAGAAATGGATCCTCAAATACATATAAATGTATTTATAGGTATATGCATACCACGTGATTTATACCACATGACAAATAAACAAGTAGATTAAAGATTAAAAATGTATAATCTAAAATGAATAAAACACTTAGCAGAAAACATAAGGAAAGGCTTCATGACATTAGATTTGATAGTGATTTGGATATAACACCAAGACATACATTGCAGAAAAAATAAAAACTTCATCAAAATTTTAAGAGAAATGAGATATAAGAAAAAAACTTTCAAATGTGTCATTTGAAAGGTGGTAATATTATTTAGAACTTCTTTACAGAAAAAACCTGATTTTAAAATGGGTGGTCCAATTCTTTCAGTTCCTAAAGAACTAAGAGACTTACAACAGTTATGTGGACATTCATCCTCCTTATGGCATTATTTACAATAGCCAAACATTGAAGGTACGAATGAATTTTTTTCAAATGTAGCATACATTTTTAATGGAATATTACTCAACCAGAGGAAGAAAGAAAACTCTGACATAGTACATGTATGAACCTTGAAGACATTATGCTGTTAAATAAGCAATATGCTGATTTCACTTAGAGGAAGTCTGTTGAAAAATTAAATTTGTAGAGACAGAAAGAATGATAGTCACCAAAGGCGAAGAAAAAGGAAGTTCAATAAGCACAGTTTCAGTTTTAGGAGACAAAAAGTTCTGGAGATGGACATTGTGATAATGGTACAACAATGTGAATATATTTAACACCATCAAATTCAACACTTTACAATGACTAAAGGGGTAGATGTGACAGATTTTTATCACTGCAAAAAAATAAAAACAAAATATAAAACAAGAAGTTTTAGATAGTGACAGAAAAAGTTAACTTTACTAAGCAAAGGCCAAAGGTCAATTCATTCTATCATATTGTTGCTTTTTCACTGTGCTGGTCTTTGGTATTGAGCCCTGGGCCTAATAGCTGTCCCTGAGCTTTTGTACTCAAGGGTAGTGTTCTACCATTGGAGCTACAGCTCTATTTCTCGCTTTGGCTGGCTTCAAACCTTGATCCTCAGATCTCAACCTCTTGAGTGGTTAGGATTGTAGGTGTGAGCCACTGGTACCCTGCTCTATCATATTGTTTAAAAAAATTATGCAAACCTGAACAACAGAAAACATCCCCCCCACACACACACACAACATACACATCTTCTGATTCTGCAAAGGGAAAAGTCTTAACAAGGTATCCTAGTAGAAAAGTGAATGGCAGGAAAACAGGCCAGATTGTGTTGAATGGTTTGTAAAAATGCTCCAAGAACCAGCTTACTTAGGAAGACTTTTTTTCTCCCTAAAATCATAAACCAGCTGAACAAGAAAATGTTCGACTTCAAGTTAAAATATTCTCAGATTTCAAAGAAAACAGTCTTTAAAAATAGCATATAACAATAAGAAACCTCAAAAATGCTCACACTTCCATTTGGGCTTCACAAAGTTATTAATAAGTCTCAAGTCTTAGTAAAAGCAATCTAAAAAACTAGAAGAAAATTGTTTTTCTTGCCTTTCTACATGAGAATACGACTAGGTGAGAGCTGCTTTCTCTGATCTTCTGCTCCGCCTGAAATCTGACTTTGAGAAAGAGCTCTGTGTATGTAATCTGATACTATACTAAAGATGCAACTAATATTCTGCCCCTTAAGATTGTTGTGCAAGAGTATTCTGGCATGCACAAGAAAGAAGTAAATAGTTCTTTCTAATTCTCATCTTTTGAAATACATGATTCTCTTTGGCCATTTAGCAAGCATGGAGAGCAAAGGGCAGAAACTATAACTGGAAGAAAATGAAATTCATGTGAGCTTATTTATATTTTTTGCACTGAATATGACTGCATTTGCTCACCCATCCTTCCTCCAATGTGTGTCCACTCTTTGACCCACCCTAACCAAACAAAGTATGTGTCATCTTAAATTCAATCCAGTATTGAGCATTTGTACAGGAAGAAATAAAAACAGAAGAAAAAAAAAACCTGTTTGGGACTCACAGTAAAGAAGTCTATTGAGTCTCTCGCTTTAGAAATATTTTTTATGGGTTGGGGATGTGTTTCAAGTGATAGAGCACCAGCCAAGCAATAGTATGGCCTAGGTTCAACCCCCAGTATCTCAGAAAAAACAAAACAAAACTCACATACAAGCTTATAAAAGAAAAAATACATTTATACAATTTGTGTAAATGTTAAGTCTACATTTGAGTCTGAAATACTCCAAAGAGATGTTCGAGTTTTCCCCCAAAATCATCTGTACAATTGGGTCCATGCTGTATTTCTATTCAGTGTTTTAGCCTACTCTTTTTTAGTCTACTATTTTCCATTCAGTCTTCTTTCTGACTCAACATAAGGAAAAGGGAAGAAGTAAGGTTATAAGTGAAACAAGAATGTCCATGAATTTGGCTCAAGATTATGTCTATTTCTGTGTGTGTTTTTGAAATTTCCCGTAAGAATTTTTTGCTGTTGTTGGTCATGGGGCCCGAGTCTCTGAGCTTTTTCACTCAAGGCTAGTATTCTACCACTTTAAGTCATTTCTAGTTTTCTGGTGGTGGTTAACTGGAAATAAGAGTCTCATGGATTTTCCTACCCAGGCTGGCTTTAAACCACGATCCTTAGATCTCACCCTCCTGAGTAGCTAGGAATACAGGTATGAGTCACCATCATCTGGAAATAATTTTTTTAAATCACAAAATGAGCAAAAGAAAAATCCCCAATAAGAGGAAAAATCACTAAGTATAATTAAGGAAGGGAGTATTAAACCATAACAAAGTCACACTATAAACCAGTATGAAAAGATTCCTAAGCTCCTTTAAAAAAAAAAAAACTAACAGATTTAGGGATTTCACCAAAAAGTAGTAGTTCATATGGCTAATAAAAAAAAGTTCAGGGGCTGGGAAGATGGCTCAGTGGTAGAGCGCTTGCCTTGCATGCATGAGACCCTGGGTTCGGTTCCACAGCACCGCATAAACAGAAAAAGCCGGAAGTGGCACTGGAAGAGTGCTAGCCTTGAGCTGAAGAGCTGAGGGACAGTGCCCAGGCCCAGAGTTCAGGCCCCACGACTGACACACACATACATACACACCCACGACTGACACACACATACATACACACCCACGACTGACACACACATACATACACACCCACGACTGACACACACACACACACACACACACACACAAATTCAGTTTCATGAGTGATCACATATCTTCTCTCATTTAGGATGTCAAATGAAAGCATCACACATCCATCAGATTAACTTAACAATGATAATGTCTGGCAATATCAGACACCTACAAAAATATGCACCAACTGAAAACTTAGCATTAGTAATAGGAGTACAAATAAGGTACCACTCTTTTGGAAAATTACTTTTGCATTATCTAGTAATAACAATATACATAGCCTACAAACCAGCAATTCCACTCGTAGGTTTATGACCTGAACAAATGAGTACAAATTAGAAGATATAAGAAATATTTGTATTACCATAACAAGTAAAGCTATTCTTCATTACTGAAAGAGCAACAAAAGATCTTCCCTGCTAAATGGAACTTTAAGGAATTTGTGACCATGAAACCAGCAGTGCAGAAGATACTTAAAAGAATCCTATATACAAGACAATAAATGCAATCAGGAAAATATGGAAAAAAACAAAAAACTTCACTAGATTCCTGGCACTGGTGGCTCAGAACTGTAATTCTAGCTATTCATGAGGCTGAGATCTGAGGATTGTGGTTCAAAGCCAACCCAGGCAAGAAAGTATGAGACTCATCTCCAATTAACCTTCAGAAAACTGGACGTGGTACTGTGGCTCAACTGTAGAATGCTAGCCTTGAGCTGAAGAGCTCAAGGATAGCGCCTGGGTCCAGAATTCAAGCCCCATGACTGACAAAAAATTTCACCTCCTAAGTAGGTAAGAAGATTAGTAGAAAGCCAGGCACCTGTGGCTCATGCCTGTAATCCTAGCTCAGGAGGCTGAGATCTGAGGATTGTGGTTCAAAGCCAGCCCCAGCAGGAAAGTCCATGAGACTCTTATCTCCAATAAACCACTAGAAAACTGGAAGTGGCGCTGTGGCTCAAGCGGTAGCGGGCTCGCCTTGAACTGAAGAGCTGAGGGATAGTGCCCAAGCCCCACGACCCACAAAAAAAAGAAAGAAAAGAAAATTAGTAGAGAAGAATAAAACATTACAACAAACAAGTGTTAGGAATTACTACATACTTTTCAATCATTAACTCTGAGTATGAATGATCTCATTTTCCAGTGATTTGATTATAAAGATGTAGGGTGAGGAAGAACACCCAAGAGAGGGAGGTTAATAGAGCCGAATACCTTCCACAGAAGGATTTCAACACACATCCCAAAACTGAAAATTCACGTGACTTAGAAATATGAAGGTAGCTGCATACCAGTGACTCTTTCCTGTATTCCTACCTACTCCAGAAGCTGAGATCTGAGAATCACAATACAAAGCCATCCTAGACAGACATATATATTTTTTTGGGGGGGTCCAGTCGTGGGGCCTGAACTCTGGGCCTAGGCACTGTCCCTCAGCTCTTCAGCTCAAGGCTAGCGTTCCACCACTTGAGCCACAGCGCCACTCCCGGCTTTTTTCTTTTTGCTTATGTGGTGCTGAGGAATCAAACCCAACAGGGCTGGGAAGGTAACTCAGTGGTAGAGCGCTTGCCTTGCATGCCTGAGGCCCTGGGTTCCATTCCTCAGCACACATAAGCAAAAAAGAAAAAAGCCGGAAGTGGCGCTGTGGCTCAAGTGGTAGAGCACTAGCCTTGAGTTGAAGAGCTGAGGGACAGCGCCCAGGCCCAGAGTTCAGGCCCCAGGACTGGACCCAAAAATAAATAAATAAAATAAAAAGATAGCAAGCCAGTATATTTTGAGATAATACAGAGAAAAAGTATAGAAATTTTACCTTGTAAAAGTTTCCATATGATTTTCGAATATTGATCCACTTTTTAGCAAAAGAAGGATATTTGAGCCTGCTAAGTTGGCACTGCATGTTCAAGAACTTACTCATATCCCATGAACTGGTAAATAAAAACAGGAGAGAAATGCATATAATAAATACTATGCCAATACTACACAAATGAGTCATTCTTTTTAGTTTGAATTTGTCAACTTTCTTATATTCACCTAATGTCAAGCTTCAAAAATTAACCTGGCTTCCTACAATACACCTCAAAAATAACTTCAAAAAAGAAAAAGATAGCCTTAGTGCTGGTGGCTCATGTTTGTAATTCAGGCTCACATATGGCTCTTCTTAGATGAGGGGAGTCGGAACAATAGAAGTTATACTCTTTAGCCAAAAATCCTCAACTTATCTACTATACTGGCAACAAGAGTATACTCAACTACACTAATTGAAAGTGTCTATCCTTAGGGTCCTATTTGTATGTGTATTTTTAATATCTTAAAGCAATCTCCACATACCCTTAAGCTCTTTGCTTGAGATGTTATTTTTGGAGGTATCAATTACTGTTTCTGTTAGTGCTCTCACTACAAACTGCAAAAATTTTGAAATCATCTGTTCTAGAATTTGACATTTTATAGAACTGTACATACTGTTATGACAGCAAAACCTATTAGTATTATCAAAATGAGTATTATTAAAATGAGGCTGATCAACATTTTCTAAAACTTCTAAACTCACGGTCATGTGATTAATCAACATTCTCTTCTTGCATGTAAACTTTTGTAACCTATGTTGATGTCTGAGTACAAATCATCCACAGTGTAAAAATCACTAGTGGTTCACAACTTACTTCTTTAGCATTCATAGTAGCATTATGGTACAGGAGTTGTCCTAGTGAAATATATGTAATCCTTGTTTTAATCTTTCTGTTTTCCCCGTCTAGCTTTTTATTAATAAATGCTTTTGGGCATATACTTTTGAGACCAGCACTATAGTAAACATTATGGAAGATGATCCTAAAGGATTTCTAATTTCATGACATACATAAAATTAAGTTATATATTATTAGAATATGTAGTCAGAGTGGAAAATTTTCATAAAGGTTATCAGACTTTCTAAAAAAGATCAATATGAATTATAGTATGAGATTAACACACAAGGAAAGCTCTGAATAAGCATATAGAAGTAGTGAGGAAGAGTCTCCCAACAGAGAAAAGTATAAAATACAGAGGAAAGGTAAACAAGGTGAATTCCTGGGCAGCACCGTCTACTGTAAAAAGGAGTAATAGCAAGTAGATTAGGCTAAAAAGGTAGGATGAAATGAAAGAACCCTGAGGCCAAGGTGAAGGCTTGATAGCTAGCAAATGTCAGGATTCAAACAAGATTTCAGGTAATTTTAGATTGTGTATTATTAATATTTATCTTTCCAGCCCTCTAATCTGGGATTAAATTGTTACTGCTTTCTCTCTTCTTCATCCCTAGGATTCAAGTTTTAAGTAGAAAGAAGAATAGAAAAGGGAACACTGTTGTTATGAGGTTATTCCAGAACTTTTAATAAATTATACTTTTGTGGTTATTATAAGAGTTGAATAAATAACATCCATGCTTAATTTTTAGAAGATTAAAAAAGATAATTATCCTCAGTACTTACCCATCTGTTAATATGCAATATTTATACTTTGTTCCTAATTCTTTCAACTTCATCCAGTCAATTACTTTTTTCAGTACTAGAGGGAAAGGATCAGCTTTGTCTACCTGATCCTGAGAACATAAAAACAGAATATGTAAAAGTCAAGGTAGCTAATCCTACACAATACCCAAACATAAACTACAGGGTAGGGGACAATATGAGAATAGTTTATTTATGCTTTAAACTTCATGAATTCCTAGGCTTAAACCTATCTAAAGCTTCATTTAAGTCAACTAAAAACTGCCCATAGCTAAGTATTAGGAACTGCCTTTAATTGAAATATACAATCCTGTCCCAATAAGATTTTAGATCATCCCTTGTGGTTCTCTTTTTATAGGTTCCAACCTAGTAGTTTATGGATTCTTACGAGTAAAGGGAACAAAAGACCTAGAATAGCCAAAACAATTGTAGGCAAAAAAGACTACTCAGGAGGGATCTCGATGCCAGACTTCCAACTCTACTATAGAGCCATAATAACAAAGACAGCATGGTACTGGCACAAAAACAGACCCGAAGACGAATGGAGTGGAATAGAAGATCCAGAAATAAAACCACACTTCTACAGTCAGCTGATATTTGACAAAGAACCAGAGACATACAGTGGAAGAAACACAGCCTCTTCAACTACTAGGACTGGGAAAACTGGGCAGCCACATGCAGAAACTAAAGAGGACCCCAGCCTATCACTATGCATCAACATCAACTCAAAATGGATTGAAGATCTTAACATCAAACCTGAATCTCTGAAACTACTGCAGGACAGAGTAGGAGAGACACTTGAACTTATAGGCACAGGAAGGAACTTCCTGAACAGAGTCCCAGGGTAACAACAAATTGGAGAGACTTGACAAATGGGACTACCTTAAAATAAAAAGTTTCTGTACAGCTAAAGCTATAGCAACCAAGCTAGAAAGACAACCAACTAACTAGGAAAAAATATTTACCAGCAATATATCAGACAAGGGGCTAATATCCAATATATACAGAGAACTCAAGAAACTAATCCCTCCCAAACCTAACAAACCAATTACTAAATGGGCAAGGGAACTAAAGAGAGACTTCTCAGAAGAAGAGATAAAAATGGCAAAAAAAACACATGAGGAAATGTTCACCATCCCTGGTTGTGAAGGAAATGCAAATAAAGACAACTCTAAGATACCACCTTACCCCAGTCAGAATGGCCCACATCCTAAAGTCAGCCAACGACAAATGCTGGAGGGGATACGGAGAAAGGAACCCTATTACACTGCTGGTGGGAATGTACACTTATACAACCACTTTGGAAAGCAGTCTGGAGGGTCCTCAGAAAGCTAAATATTGACCTCCCTTATGACCCAATCATACCACTCCTAGGCATCTACCCTGAGCAACAGGAACCAGGATACACAGACACATGCACCAATACGTTCAGTGCAGCACTGTTCACAATAGCCAGGATATAGAAACAACCAGATGTCCCACCACAGATGAATGGATCCAAAAATTGTGGTATCTATACACAATGGAATATTATGCAGCCATTAGAAAGGACAAAATAATGGCATTTGCAGGGAAATGGATCGAGCTGGAAGAAATCATGTTGAGTAAGGTAAGCCAAGAGCAAAGAGACAAACGGCACAGGTCTCCCTGATAAGTGGATGCTAAATCCAAAATGTAAGATGATAAGACAAAATTAACAAGACTTAAGAAACAAAACTCATCTGGTCGAATCACTAATAAATAACCCTCTACTGCTGCTTACATATATGGTATATATGTGCACACTGGAGGGAAACCAGGAGGAAGACACAGCACTAGAGGGAATCAGGGAAAAACATACAACAGCAGGACCCATCAGCTGCACTGGACATTGATCAAAATGAACTAAGCAACTCAATGGCAGCGAAGAGAGGGAGGGAACAAGTGGGAAAGAGGGAACAGTTGATGCTATGCAAAACAAAAGAAATGTGGAAGAAATAACTGTATTGCAAAGCTCATAGAACTCATAAATGTTATAGACCATGATAGACAATTTGCCCCATGAAAGTTAGAATGTGTTTGTGACTTTAACTAAGCACTATCCCACAATACTGTGAAATTTGGAAAATTATGTAACTACTTAAATCACAGTAAGAAATTTGAAAAAAAAAAAAAGAGTAAAGGGCAATCTCTTATCAGCTGTAAGCCATCATCTCCTGAGTGATCTCTCCAAACAATACTTCCTAAAATGTACCAGCCCAATCAACCACTCTCACAAAATGCCCTCCAGACATTCTGCAAGACTTTCAAGATAAGGGATCCAGGAGAACCTTTTAAGCTGGCCTGACACAGTCTATCTTGACCATTTCATTAGATCATGTACATTTGAGCCACCCTACACTACATGAAATTCTGCTGTTTCATGCCTGAAATGACCAGTCCTCCCCCTACTTATCTTTATTCAGCCCAAGGTAACCAGCATAAAACATGAAAGGATCCCGCCCACATCCTGTATTTCCTGTCATCAATGGAAACCTTATGCAGATGCTAAATACCCTGACTTCTAACTCTTAACTTTATTGTAACCACATCTGTCTGTTTCTGAATCCCTACCTAGTTCCTTGGCATATATTATAGAAGACACCCAACCATATGCAGAATGACTGAAAGAATAAGCGAATTAAGAAAGTAAATAAAAGACCTACTCATTAAAATACAAGCACGTCATAAGAGTAAATATAGTCAGGTTGCAAATTGATACATTCTAAAACTTATCCCCAAGTAGAACACAATAACACTCAGATAATTCTCTATTTTACAAATAAAATATTTAAGATGTATCATTACAACTCTTTAAAGGGAAAAGTATATGATACATGATTTGCTTTTTGTTTTTTAAGATGAGGATCTTACTATGCTGCACAAGCTGGTTTCAAACTCCTGGGCTCAAGTGACCATCCCACCTCAGTCTTCTAGGAGCTGGGAGTACATTCACCACCTTGTCCAACCATTTATTTGTTGATTACAATATGGTGACCTTTACCCCAAGCAAGGAGAACACATTAAATTACTCGTAACAGTAATTCCTAAACTTTGTAGAAAGCAAGTCTCTAATTTGAAATAATAAGATCACAACCTGAGTAATTCCAGTAAGACTGATGCAGAAATCAGACAGATGTGTATTCATCTCTGGCCTCACATACTGCTGAAATGTATCTTCCTACAAAGGAAGGCAACAGTTACTTTAATGTGCATAAACTACATGACACATTGAACAAAAGTGCTCTGACTTTATAGGTGTTCATGGTACAGATCTATCTAGAATTTTTTTTTGTTGGTCGTGAGGCCTGTACTCTGGGCCTGGGCACTATCCCTCAGCTCTTCAGCTCAAGGCTAGTGCTCTACCACCTGAGCCACAGTGCCACTTCTGGCTTTTTCTGCTTATGTGGTGCTGAGGATCAAACCCAGGGCCTTATGCATGCAAGGCAAGCACTCTACCACTGAGCCACCTTCCCAGCCCCCACCTAGAATTTTTAAAGGATTCATTTCCCCTAACAAAGCCCTCTGATATTTTGATTAAAATTATTTGCTTTGCAATTTAAAAAAAAATTAAGATACTGAGTTTGAAAGCAAACCTTTAAATCAAAACTTAAATGAACATTTCTTGAAGAACTAAACATTGAAAACTTTGTACTACTTTAAAACTATAAACCTAAAATCTAAATAAGGGAGAACTGTCCCTAAAAGTGAAATCAATTTGCCCTTATAGTATCATTTTTCCCTTTATTTATTTATTTTTATTTTTGTCTAGTCATATGGTTTGAACTCAGGACCTGGGCACTGTCCCTGGGCTTCTTTTGCTCAAGGCTAGCTCAAGGTTAGCATTGTACCACTAGAGCCACAGCTTCATTTCCAGCATTTTTTGTTGCTGGTTGTGGACTCAGGGCCTGGGCACTACCTCTGAGCCTCTTCGTGCTCAAGGCTAATGCTCTACCACCTGAGTCACAGCACCATTTCCAGTTTTTGAGTGCTTAATTTGAGAAAACAGTCTCCTGGGACTTTTCTGCCAGGGCTGGCTTCAAACCAAGATCCTCAGATCTCAGCCTCCTGAGTAGGATTACAGGCGTGAGTCACTGATGCCCAGCTCGTTGTTTTCCCCATAAATTTTCCATCAGAATGATGACAGTGATTTCTGTTAATTATCATTCATAGCAATCAGAGTGCCTATGCCTACAGCAGTAGTCTTTAACTGGATTACACATTTTAAAAACAAACAAAAAACCAAAAAAACGGTAAGTTTTAAGTTATATGTTGATGTCAGGGGCTAGGTAATACCACCAAACTGAATTAGGATCTCTGAGACTAGGACCAGGCATTACGATGTTTTTGTTTTTTTACTTCCCAAGAGATTTTGTTATCATGGGAAAAAAAAGAGAAGCAATTCCTAAAAATGCCTTAGTAAAGCTTTTCTGTTAAGACAATGTCACAACAAAAGCAAAATACTCACCTGAGGCTTCTAGTTCTAGCTAAAACTTACAAGAGACACCAAAATAGTTACTACTAAAAACAAAATTCACTTACGATTTCTAAGGTGTGAGTATTCAATAAAACAACAGGAAACTCAATTATTTCATGTATGAACTCAGGTGGATTACCCTCTTCACAAGTGGCTTCAAAGTCAATAATACAAATGTAGTCGTAGTAACTGTCTGCACAATTGCTCTCTTTCAACATTAATTTCTGCTTTTTATAATAGTTTTTCAGCCTCTTCTTCAGAACATCCTTTACTCCTCTAAATAGAAAAAAATAAAAATATATATAAAATAAAGTTTATTTAGGCAAATTTTACACTCAAAAATCATAACTTTTTTTTTTTTTTTGGGTCCGGTCGTGGGGCCTGAACTCTGGGCCTGGGCGCTGTCCCTCAGCTCTTCAGCTCAGGGCTAGCGCTCTACCACTTGAGCCACAGCGCCACTTCCGGCTTTTTTCTTTTTGCTTATGTGGAACTAAGGAATCGAACCCAGGGCCTCATGCATGCAAGGCAAGCACTCTACCACTGAGCCACCTTCCCAGTCCCAAGGATCAGAACTTTTATCTGCTGGTACTGGATTGAACCTTGACAAGTCACAGCCTAATTTATCAAATGCTAGCTAAAATAAATGTAAGGGAAGCAAAATTCAAAGCTAAGTTAACAGACAACATGAACCTTTTCTCCAAACCATATACAACTTCCAACCTTCAGCCTTATCCACATATACCACTAATATAGCCACAGTGCCCCACAGATTAAGATGACACACAAAACCTGAATTTTTTTTTTGGTCGGTCATGGGGCTTGGGTGCTGTTACTGCGCTCTTCAGCTCAAGGTGAGTACTCTACCACTTGAGCCACAGCTCCACTTCTAAAACCTGAAATTTTTGTTATTCTATAGGTCATGTATAAATGTCTGATATGAAAATTCAGGTAAGTTGGCCTTATTATGCTCTTTTTTTATTGGCATTTATAGGTTAGACGACTAAAAAAATCTTTAAGAATATGAAACTACTGTAATCCTGGCATATGAAGTTGAATAGCTGCTAGTTGCTTTGGAAACTAGTTTAGAAGATATCATTCTTACTGTCCTTAAGAACACTATCACACTCAGTAGATTCTCGGTGAAAGCTTTGCATTACCTGGTTAGTCTCCCTTTCTTTCTTTCATCCTTTTAGGGAAGGGGGGTGTTGGGAGTAAGGGCATGAAGTCACAGGTATATACTACTGCATATGCCCTTCCCCCTCCCTTTCTCTTTTCCTTCCTTCTTTTTTTTTGAGAAACTGCTGTAAAAACTAGCTCTTGGAACAAAAAAAATCCATCATTTTTACTTCCCCTTGCTCCTCCCCATTCAACTACTCACCTTAAAAAAAACAAAACCCACCCACCTCATCAAAATACCAAGAATCTAGTTCTCCTTAATGATCTCTACTATGGCTCCCATAGCTTCTTCATAAATAACAAACACCTCCACTATCACAGCCTTCCAACTCATTCTTTACCATGTTCATATTACCTATTGTTTCAGTCTATTTCAAAGGTTCTTTTCCCCCAATGTTCAATGGTACATCATACACTACAGACAAAACATCCTGTAAGTCACTGCCTGAATATGTGGTATGCTTTCATGTTCTAGAACTTTGATTATTATATAGCAAGAGCTTAGCATAAGATCATAGCAGAAAAACATACAAACAAGAATTAGTCCTCTATATATCACCTTTATAATAATAATTTTAAAAATAATTACTAGTTTTGTTTTTCCTTGAAATACCATCCTTCTTTGTATTGTTTGACATAATCCAAGTGTTATCTTTCTGAATTGAAGATACTCTGTTCTGTATCTCTACCTCCTCTTCCTTGCTCAAAATTGGCACTGTATCATAAGCCACACTTCTACTTCTGGTTTGTTGGTGGTTAGTTGGAGATAAGTCTCCCAGACTTCCCTGCCCAACTTCGATCTCAGCCTCCTGAGTAGCTAGGATTACAGCATGAGCCACCAGTGTGTGGCTTCAATGTTCTGTATTCTCATGCTACAAGTGGCCAGAACTCCAATGTAGCACTGGCCACTTTGTACTGCAATTATTTGTGTATTTTCCCAAGAGTCTGAGATTTCCACAGTAAGGAAATATCTTATTTACCTTCTGATAAAGCCTAGTCTAGTGCTTAGAATTCAATACCAGTTTGTTGAATAAATTTATAAACATCTAGGTCTCTAGCTTTCATGCAAGCCAGGGGTATGCAGTTGATCTTCACATCTGAAAAGGACAAAAATTTTCAGAAAAATCTTCTATAAGTGACAGACTGTAACTTCACAACTGAAAGGCAGGGAAAGATGAAGTCAAAAGGTTCTTCACAAATTATGATATAGAGAATCTAGAAGGAAAAATACGTTTGTGCTCTTTCAGAAAGCAGCAAAGCCTAATTTTTCTTTTTCTTTTTTGCACCATTCTAGGGCTTGAAATCTGGACCTAGTCCTGTCTCTGAGCATAGAGAAGGGAATAAGAATTTAGGGGTACACTTAACTATTATGTCTCCATGTTTCATATAATCAAATTTTTCCTTTATGCTGGGCAGTTCAATTGTTTATCAAAATACAGTGACTCCAAAGTCATTCCTGCCTCATATACTAAGTTATAGAAAATCATTGATTTGATTTGTAAAATACCATTCACATCCTACATATATGTGTATCTCACTAAAGATACACAAACAGTATTATTTTCTCAATCTATATACAGTTAAATGATGCATACTATCATTCTACTGTATTTTAGAAACTAAAACATTTTTTGGTAAATGATTTCTTTAAACTACTTGATTTCAGGCAAATCCCAAACTCTTTATGAAAACAATATGAATAGGCAAAGAAAAAGAAAAATGTCCTACATATGTCAATTAAATAAACCTAAAAAAATAAAACTTGAAGTTAGGCACAGTGATACACACCTAATAACCTTAACATTCAGGCAGCTATGGTTGGAAGATGAGCATGTACTACTTTATATAATTTTAATTTTTGTTTTGTGTATGTTGTGGGGGGGGGAGGGCCTGAGCACTGACCCTGAGCTTTTCCTCCCCATTTGAACCACAGCTTAACTTCCAGCTTTTTTCATTCTTAATTGGAGATAAGAGTCTCTCATTTTTCTGTCCAAGCTGGTTTCAAACTTCGATTCTCCAATCTCAGCCTCCTGAGCAGCTAAGATTACAGACTAAGCCACGGGGACTCAGCTAAAGTTATTTTTTTTTTTTGGTCCGGTTGTGGGGCCTGAACTCTGGGCCTGGGCGCTGTCCCTCAGCTCTTCAGCTCAAGGCTAGCGCTCTACCACTTGAGCCACAGTGCCACTTCCGGCTTTTTTCTTTTTGCTTATGTGGAACTGAGGAATCGAACCCAGGGCCTCAGGCATGCAAGGCACGCACTCTACCACTGAGCCATCTTCCCAGCCCCAGCTAAAGTTATTTTTAATTACCTGGTTTCAAGCTTGAATTCTGAAAGCTTAGCTCTGAGTTCTTCCTTACTCATTCTGTTAATACAACCATTTGTAATGGCAATCTCTTTGTAAACTGGGTCACTGAAGTCACTTGTGTTGGAGGTAATGAATTCAGATCTATTTGTTTCTTGGTCATCAATACACCGTTGCTTTTTCTGTAAAAGTAAAAAAGGGGAGGGATTAATTTATAATTATTACAAATGCAGATTCAATGATTCAAACTTCTGAGACTTCTATATGTTACAAAGCCAATGAAAATGTCCACTGCAGCAATAAGAGGCCAGGATAGGAAAATGAAAGATGTGTTTTCAATATAACTTGCTCTACTCTATTCTGAGTCAGGAGGCTCCTTAAAGGCAAAGAGTCGAAGAAAAATGAGAATTAATGTCAGAATCAGTCACTTCAGTACAGAACTCAGCTGACTTTGGGTGGGTTATTAGCTTTTGATCTATAGTTTCTTTTTCTATCAAAACAAGGTATAATTATCTTAAGTGGTACTTGGTAAAATGATAAATAGTATTTAGGCAGCATTATTACAAGTATGAAATGAAATTATGTGTAGCCCAGTGAGGGCAAGGTCTGTTCAAGCCCAAATATGCTAAAAAGAAAAGCAATTTACTAGCTGAATCCCTCTGCTTTGTTGAAATCAGCAGAGAATTTTTTTTGGGGGGCCTGAACTTTGTGCCTGGGCGCTGTCCCTCAGCTCTTCAGCTCAAGGCTAGAGCTCTACCACTTGAGCCACAGCGCCACTTCTGGCTTTTTTCTTTTTGCTTATATGGTGCTGAGGAATTGAACCCAGGGACTCATGCATGCAAGGCAAGTGCTCTACCACTGAGCCATCTTCCCAGCCCAAGGGAGAAAATTTTTATACTCATTTATTAGGAGCATCCAATGACAAGTTTTAAAAGATAGGATAGTCACTAAGTCCAATTTGGAACAGTTGTCATATCTTGAAGTTTTAAGACTTTGAAATATACTGAAGTATCTACATACGTCTCTTAACAAACAAAAAACTTTAGAAGCACTGATGGCTCATGCCTATAAATCCTAGCTACTCAGAAGGCTGACATATGAAGGTCAGCCCAGGAAATAAAATCCCCAAAACTAATCTCCAATTAGCCAGCAAAAATCTTGAAGTGGGGGTGTGGCTCAAGTGGCAGAGCAGCAAGCCTAGTTCAAAAGAGCTAAGGGAAGGGTGAAGTCCTAAGTTCCAACCCTAGTACTTGCATTTTTAAAAACTTTTGATAAAAATGTCCTACAATGAGGAGAGAAGTGGGGTTGTTAGGGCATAAGAAAGTTTCTTTCCAAGTATCAAGGAGAATGAGATAGCCACATAGAGAAGGAGCAGGAGCATGTAGGACAGTCAAACGTAAAGACTCTTAAGGAAAAAGACCTTTCTCTTCAAAAGACAGCAGGGAAGCCAGAGGTACTTGGAAGAAGGTCCAGCAGAAGGGAGTGAACCAGCCCAGTTCAGATTACAAAAAGATCTTTGTAGCTGTGGTGCGTTAACATCACAGATGGAAGAACAGAAGAACTAGAAAAACCTCGTGCCAATACTCAGTATGAAGTAGTCAACTTTTGTTTGTAAGAGAAAGAAAAAAAGCCTAGCTTGGGTGTTAACAATTTACAATCCACCGTGCTGGCCAGCAACTATCCTATTCGTAAAAATCGATAAATAAAATCCAGAGTTGTCTTTGTACAGCGACTTAAAAAAAAATCAAACAAAAAAAATAAATGAAAAAGATCTAAGATTTTTGTTTGGTTTGTTTTACAATTTTTGCCACTACAATGGGGATCTGTGCCCAAGCCCTGGGTTCAAGCCCCCGGACCACCCCCTCTCCTCCCCCCCCCCACACACACACCTCAGTACTCTGTTTGGAGGGAAATAGTAGGACACAGGGAAAAGTCAGAGGCGAAGCTCCATTCAAGAGGCCGCTGTGGAGAAAGGGCCCAGATTGGCGTCCTAAGAAACGTGACCTCTCCTGGGTAGAGGGTCGGGGATGGGGGGGGGGTTCCCCACTTCAGAAACCACCACCTCTTCAAGAGCCGACGGGGCGGGGGCGAGGTGGAGGTAGAATGGCAACAGTGGACAGAGAACGTTTGCTGCAGAATTCTCACTCGGAACTTCTCCGACGACTGTTTCCTCACACCCGGGGTGGAGGCGGGGGGTGGGGTGGGGGGGTGCTCACCGGGCCCCGATCCGGGTCCGGGGCGGCCCGGGGCGTGCCGGCTGCAGCCAAGACGCGTCCCCGGTGAGGGAGGCCGCGGCAGAGAGGGGCTGGCGGGGCGCGGACCCGCGGCTCACCTCGAGATGGCCCGGCCGCCGCTGCTGCTGCTCCTCGCACGGCGTCTCTGGCGACCCGGGCTGCGCGCGAGCCAGGGCCTCGCCATCGCGACGCCGTCCACTCGGCTCATCTTCCTCCATGCCGGCTCCTGCACCCAGAAGCCAGCTACCGCAGCTGCACCCGGGCTCGCTCTCACTCCGCCAAATCCCTCCGGCCTCGCTCTTCTCGGTTGAAAAATTACCGGGTTTCACGTTCCCGCGGCGGCAGCCACACAAACTCCGACGGGCACCTCCCACTTCCGGGAGCGTGTGGCGTCCGTCTGCTGCGCAGGCGCACTAGGCGAGCGCGCGCGGGGAACGCCGGAGCGGCCAGGAGGCGCGAGAGGCGCAAGCGCGGGAGGGGAAGTGGGCGTGGTCATCCCTGTTGAAGCCCACACCCTGGCGTTTCCTTGAAGCTGGAGCTAGCCTCCTTTCTAGTGTTAATGAGGGACGCTATGAAGTTGATGGGAAATGTGTTGAAGGCCTTTTCTATTTAATGTTTTCTGCAGGTTCTGAAGTCTTTTGCATTATTTTGAAATATTAACTCCATTGATTTTTCTGTATCCAGTGTTGCTTTGAAAATTCTAATGGCAATACGGTTTTTGTGCTTTTGTGCATTTGTTCTTTCTCCCTTGAGACTGCAGATTTTCTCTTTGTGACCTTCATGTTTTTTAATTCACTGAAACAGATCCAAGTGGAGATATGGCTTGAGACCAAGGCCACCTCTGATGCTGACACCCCTGGTGGCCACAGATGCTCTTGAAACCTTGAAATCTTCTACTCAAGGTTGCTTTCCTACCTTACCTCCATCTCACCCCACTCCCATCTGCCTACCCCCCCCCCAATTTCACTTGTTATAAGTGTAAGTATTCTGCCCACCTTGGGTCCTCAGCTCCACCCAGACCTGAGTTCCTCCCTGCCCTGGAGTTCCTGCCATATAGCTGGCCCCTCCCTCTCTCATCCCAGACCCACCTGAACTCCCATCTACCTCACTTCCTACCCCCAGACCCTGCTGCTACCTAGATAGCCGAGGCTACCATGCGCTCTCTCTCCCGGGGAAATATGGCTCCTCTAATAAACCTTGTAATAATCTCTCTCCTCTGCCTCTGCATGGTCCCCTGGCATGGATGTGACAGATCCTTTCAGTAAGGAGAGTTCGCCATTGCACCTTCAGCCCCGCTGAAGGAGACTTGGTTGCCCCTCTCAGATTTTCCTCCTGAGTGAAACCTGTTGGTCTGTAGAGTTCACCTTTCTGCTCCTTTTCGTTTCTTACAATGTCACCTTCAAAACAGGAAGAAGAGAATGCACTGGGACCTTTTTAGCAACAATACAATCTAAAGGCTAAAGAGGTACACTGCCTTAGAAAGTTCAATGCAGTGAGTTCAATCTCAATACTGCCAAAAAAAATTTTTAAGGGGGGGATGGGGAGAAGAAAGAGGAAGAAATAAATAAACACAATCCACTAAACACAGTGTAATGATAAAGACCTGTAATTCTGGTAATTTGGAGGCTGAGACAGAAAAATCTGCAGTCCTAGGAAAACATGGTGGGATCTTGTCTCAACAACAGCACCAACGGCTGAGTATAATCTAAGAAAGCTTATTTTGCACATTTTGTCTTATTTATGCCAGAACTTACACGTTACAGGATTCAGATTTGTTTTGACTTCTTGAGTGGAAGAAACTCAGTTTGAATCTATGACATATTAAAAAGGGGAAAGGTGATCTATCCTATGAAGAACGTCAGGTACTTGCCATTTAAAGTATAAGTAATTCATTGGGATTTAGACATTTAGAAATAACTGAGATTGAGAAAAAAGTTAAAGTGAATGTTAGAAATAGATTATAAATTTTAAATATATAATTCATATTTGCATTTTGGTTCAGTTTCCTGATGTCTCCTACTGTATCAGAAAGTCATCAAGTTATTTGAAATGTTATATATGTGTGTGTGATTTGCTAGAATGACATCAACTTCATGGTGCAAATCAACCCCTTTTTTATCCATTGTGGTTTTTGATCTGTATCTATGACTGGCTCATGCCTTGGATAAAAGGGGGTGGATGCATTCTCAAATAGGGAGATATGTTGAGATTTAACATCACTGGGTATATGGCAGAATAAGAAGTTCATTTCTTGATGTGCCACCAGAGGGCAGTCGATGCAAAATTTGTTCTATTTGATGTATAAAGGACAGCTATAAAGGAGATGAACAGGTTTTCAGTTCTAGTTTGAGGAGTAAGCAATTGATGTGGAGAATTTCATTATTTTTAGACAGTAGGGAATATATGTGAATGAGTTTGGGTTTTGCAAATGTTTATCAATAATAATACATTCCGATGTATATCAAGCATGTGTCAATGTTTATTATGATGGGTGACATAGATAAAATTAAATAATGCATGATCTTGATGTGTTAGGTTTCTTGTATTTCCTGGAGAAAAAAGCACACGTAAATACAAATTAGAATCCATTTCTGTGTGTGCCACACTCCTAATCTTTGAAGGACTTTGAAGGACAGAATTCATTCTGCTAAAGTCAGATGTGTCAAAAGAAGGCTTCACAACACTAGACCTTACAAAGGAAGTTAGACATGTTTGAACTCCCAAGGTAAAGTGATGGATTAAACATGTGCATTTAATTTTCTGCCTTCTCAAATCCCATAAAAATAAGAGGTGTTTTAAGATCTGATCCCACATGAGGCTAAATAAGACAGGATAACAGAAATCAAAAATATGAAAAACAGTATCCCAAAGCTGATGTGAGAAAGCTAAGAACTAGCAATATAGATATGGATATAGATTTTAAAGTCTTCATAAGGTGGCACTGCTGGGCTTTTAAAGGTATTTCACAGTCAAATGGGGGTGTGGGGTTCTCTGGAGGAGGACAAAGGGTTTAAGGTAAAGACCAAGCTAGCTGAGAGCTAAGTTAGAGCCCTAGATGCTCCCTACCACTTGCAGAAATCAGAATGTTTATTCTCCATGGTAACGATTAAGAGATCAGCTTCTAAGCTCCTCCTACCCTAGCTGAGCTCTCAGAATGCAGTAGCCAGAAGTTCCCCTGTCCATGTAGAAGACTGGAAGACTCCTCCCCAGAGAAATCTGGTGTCCACCATGACAATACATTTGCTCCTTGGTTTTGAATCCAATTATAAACTGAAACTTGAAAATATCATAAAGCAATAAGGCATCCATCCTCCCGATGGGTCAAATAATTTAACAGAACTTATTTTCTTATTAAGTATCAAATACCTGTGTAATTTCATAATGCTAACCTACATTGGTAATGAAAAGCAATAGTTTTGTTGATACATGTTCTCATGATTGTAAAGCTGAAAAGTGAATCATCATCCCTTGACTTAGGAATGTCTGTGTTGCAGATGCTGACGCTAAAGTTTCCATCAACCTCCCTCACATCACCCTACAATGACACACAGCCTCAAGGCCAGGCATGGTCAATGCCATTCCCTCCAAGATTCTTTTTGTTTGTTGGCTTGTTTGTTTGGGGCAGTAGTAGGGTTTTGAACTCAGGGCCTTGCAGTTGTTATGTAATACCCTATCATTGGAAACACCTCCCCCCAACCCTCTTCAGGTTGATTATTTTGGAGATAGAGTATGTGTTTTTTCTCCTCAGACTCCCTCAGATCTCCATCCTCCTATCCTCCATCCTCGTTTCTCCCATTCTGGGATTACCCATATTACCACACTCACTGGTTCTTTGAGATTGAAGCCTTGCTAACTTCTTGCCTTCTTGCCTTGGGCTAGCCTTGAACAAACATTCTCTTTCTATCCCTCAAGTTGCTGAGATGAGAGGGGTGAGCCACTTCACTGGGCTTTAGCTGTCTTGATTGTGGTGTGTGTGTGTGTGTGTGTGTGTGTGTGTGTGTGTGTGTGTGTGTGTGTCCCCTTGTCCTGGGGTTTTAACTCAGGGTCTGGGTGCTGTCTCTGAGCTTCTTTTGCTCAAGGCTAACACTCTAGCACTTGAGCCACAGATCTACTTCTGTCTTTTTTTGGGGGGTTGGGTTTGGAGATAAGAGTCTCAGAAACTTAACTACCCCTGCTGGCTTTGAACCATGATTCTCAGATCTCAGCCTCCTGAGAAGTTAGGATTATGGGCAAGAGTTGAGCACTGGCTTAGGGACTCTTCACATATAAGAAATGGAAAAAATGGGACTCTTGCTTTCGCAGTTTTATCTCAGTCAGGAAGACAATAGACACTGAACACCAACTGGAGTTGCAGAAGAGTCACCCAGAAAGCTTACAAAATAGGTTTTGCAAACTTCTTACACAATCTTTAACTCCTTCAGTCTAGTCAAGTGAAGTCAAGCTTCACTTAACAAAGTGTCTTCTCAGGAATTGGTTACACAATTTCATTATCATGCAAACATCAAATGAGATATAAGTACGTTGCTCCAGATGACAAAGTGGAGTAAATACACAAATCAGTAATATTATTCACTTATTATCATCATACACGGTACATGATTAACCTTATGTTCTTTGGTTTCTTTTTTCTTTTCTTTTTTGTGCCAGTCTTGGGGCTTGAACTTAGGACCTTGGCACTGTTCCTGAGCTTTTATACCCAAGGCCAATACTCTACCAATTGAGTCACAGCCCCACTTCCAGCTTTTTTGGGGTAGTTAATTGGAGATAAGAGTTTCATGGATTTTTCTATCTGGGCTGAAAAATCCTCATATATAAGCCTCCTGAGTAGCTATGATTACAGGCATGAGCCACTAGCGCTAGGCCCGTGCTATGCTGTGCTGCAGCCATCAGGAGGTTTTTCATACCACAAACACTTAGGCAACTCATAATACACAGATGTCACTGTGCCATTATAATCTTGTAAGTGGCTAATGTTGAGAGAAACCTCATAATGTATCATAAGCCTGCCTATAAAAGGATTTCAATTGAAAGGAAAATTATGAAGACAATGTGTTCAGAAAGAAGGAGTGCAAATTTCCCCTGTCTCATGTGTATCAGTGGATGTGCAGGCATGCTTTCTTCTTCATCTCTAGGCAAGAAATGCTTCACTAGGACCCTGGAAGGCTTGATTGGTGTCCCCTGCCATGAAGAAGTACAGTCAATTGCTGTCTGATTTGTACCAAAAGGATCCAGGGCAAGAGAGAAGGGCAGACCCAAGATAATATTAGCAAGGTGAATGAGGTTTATGCTGCTATGAAACTTGTTTTCCAAATTGGGAGAGCAATCCTGGAGGCCATGTGTGGTGTAGCTGTGTGTGTGTGTGTGTGTGTGTGTGT